AATGTGTATGTATATATATATATATATATTTTTTTTTTAAATAATTAATTGAGTTTGACTGCATTCTCCGATAAGGTTTATGACCAAAGAATCTGTTAGGAAAATATTGGCAGCAACATGACATTACGCTGAAATATTTAAGGCTGTTAAACCTGCTTTGAAAGCTGTCTGACCCTCGTCACTCTTCTGGGTACAGATTTGTCTTGTTGAAGCTGATGAAGTTCAGGATTTGATTACTTCTAAAAAGTAGTGACAATGTGGACAAATGCATGCAATGGTAGGAGTATTAGGATCGATTTTCTGAAGTAATTACCACCTGTAAAATTCTGCAGTCAAATCCTACTTAAGTCTGAGTACAGAAGTATTATCTGCTAAATGTAAAAGTATCCAAAGTAGAAGTATTTGAAAATGTGAATGTATTTCAAAATGTCTTTGTGTGAGTGATGAATTTATAAATGGCATTAGCCCGATTTGATTAATACTGATGCAACATTTATTGTTGAAGCTGGTTGCAGTGGAATACTACTTTATATACAGTTCCCAAAGTAGGGACTGGGTCCCTCCTAAAGGTCACAATAAAACAATGAGTTTTTTTTTTTGTTTGACCTCTTTGGGCCTAAACAGTTATTTAAATGAAACCATGTAAGAAATTTAAACTTATTTGATGGAACATCAAAAATAATATTATTATGTATAATGTACAATCTTAATCTGAAAGGTAGCCAGTAACTGCAGCTGACATTTCCTTCCTTCAAGTTCCCTCTGAAATGTAGTGGTGTAGAAATAAAGAGTGGAATGAAATGGAAATTTGAGAACCTCAAAATTGTGCTTAAGTACAGTACTTAAAACTAACTAACTAACTTAGTAATTCTAAACTGATAAAAAGCATCAGAAAACACCTTTTAAAAACTAAAATGCTGTTAAGATTCATATTGTGAACACGCGTATGTTTCATACACAAGCCAAACAGTAGGGAACAGTGATTTAATCTTTAGCAATGTGTTGTGTTTCATAAACTTATGTTTCTTTGTAAAATCTCAATACACACATATAAAGTAAAAGACAATTAAATACTACTTAAAGTACCTCAAAATTGCACTTGAATAAATGTACTGGGTAACTGCAAGATAGCCACCAGCAGTGCTGTCAGAGAGTGAGGCCTGACATCACACTATGCCCAGCACTTAGCTACTGTATGTAGAGTGAAGCTCACTTTGCTGTAAATGATGAATTGATAAACACATTGGGAAGCTTTACACATTATACACTCTAGAAATTTGCCATAAATTTAAAACCCTGTGAGCTACGTTACATATCACCCTGCTTTAGTAACAAATAATCAATGCCCTCAGTTCTGTTACCCAACATCTGTAAAGGGAATACAAGTGCCTAAAGCAGTGTGCAGAACTTTAATAATAATATATGAGTTATGAGTGCAGTTGTTTGTCTGACTTCTGTTGGCAGGTGAGGATTTAACGTGATATCACATAAGCATCCCCAACAGAGTCTCATTCATGTGTCCTTCCAATCTAAATGAAATCACCAAGGCTGTATTTGAAAAGATCAGAGTATACAGCTTTCTTGTTTTCTCCCTCTCTTATACTTCAAGGAACCTATGTTGTATCTAAAATAATAGCAACAATTAATGCAAAAGTCAGAGAACTCCTCAGTCATTTATCCTAATGCTCCCATGGTATTATAAACCATACTACACGAGTAAATGAGACAGGACAAGGTGTCTTGACCCTCTGTCACTGTTGTGGAAATAGATTTGTCTTCTTGAAGCTTACTGTATATTGGAGTTGTACTTCTGGTAAACAATGAAAGCCACCAGAGTAAGACCAAATAACTCCAGCGATTCCTGCTGCAACTGAAATAGTCAGCACGGTCCTGTTCATATTAGTCTGCTGAGCACCTGGGAAGAAAAGAGACACCAAGGATTGATTAGAACATGAAAAGCAATGTACAGTTCTTATACTGACGAGCATGATGGAAATTGTACAACAGGTTTATGTTTGTAGCTACAAATAAAACCCAACTAAACATAAAGTCTGCTCTGACTTTATGTGAGCAGTTTTTATACTAGACAACTCGTTTCGTACTTTTCACCGGCAGTTCGGTTTTCACAGCAGCAGGTGAGCCGCATGTGGAGGAGGCTTTCTGTTAATTACCGATCGAGACCACCATGGTGTGAATGACATCAGCACCAACCGCTGTGTTCACTCTTGTTTCTCTGCAGGTGTAAATAGTGAGCGTTATGTCTTCTTCACTCCAGTGACCAAAATAAGCTACAATAGATAGCATCGTCTGTATTAAAGAGAAAACACAGTTTATCTGATGTTCTAAGTGAATAAAATAACCCTGCCAGCCTTACTGGAGTCCCACAAATACTGAAGCGTTTAAACTTTCTCTCCCTCTGGAGAGTCGTGTGTGTCAGGGGCATGGTCAGGGGGAAAGCAGGCAGTGGACCAAACCTCTGAGGCAAGGGAGGGGGGACTCAAAATGTTTCTAAACTTAAATGGGGCAATAAAAGTTTTTTGCATTTGTATTGTTTTACTACTTACACAAATATTTTAAGTATATATAGGCGATTTCCGCCTATGCTTCCAGCAGAGACTGAAGTCCTCTTGGATCAAGCCCACCAACAAAGTGCTGACCTGTAACTTCTCTCCCCGGGACAGGCTCCAGCTAGAGGCCTCCGTTTCCCTTTATCAGGTGAGGATTCTTTGTCTGACCCTTAACTTTGGACAGATTACCTACTACTACATCTATATGGGTAACCAAATGACGTTGTTGTCCAATCTTCATGCCATGTGTTTTGTTGATAAAAATACAATAATACAGTGAGTGAACTCATGTTGGCAGTGTATGCATACCTCCAGATGTCATCAGATGCCCTGCAAGAGAAAAAGAAAAACCCTCAGTTCGTTCATGATCAAAAGAACCCCCTAGTCAACTTGACAAGTATGATTCAGGGTCTGTGTACTTGGCGCCAAGAGATTTTCATTTTGAAATAAAAAAACTAAAATGAAAAACGTCTTGTTTCCCAATTACCACTGGGACATGGAGAAACAAGGAAACAAGGAAAATAACCCATTTTTTGTTTTGATGTGAAAAGACAAAATAAGGGTAACAGCCTGTGATCTGAATTTCTTTTATATGCTTATAAATGGAAATTAGAATTTCAAATACGTGTGTATAAATCGCTTACTATTGTAAGCAGTAAGTGGTTGTATGCCACATACCTGGAAGTCAGGAGTTTGCCGATGTACATCTATGAGACGGACATAAATATGTTTGTATGTGTTTAATATGTTGATGAATGTGCAGGTTTTATAACAGAAAACAGAAAAAATGGGATGTCTTGTGGGATATAACCGCTGTGCAGGGACTTGTCAGGGACTTCTGTCCTGATAGACAACTTGAAGTTGTATTTTAATTTCCGATTTCCATCTAAAAACACATCAAAGACAATCACATAACAAGATTGTTTTTCATTTTCCCTTTTTTAATATAAAAAAGTATGGTAACCGGAGAACAAGCTGTTTATCGTTTTTGTTTTTTTTCATTTCTAAATGAAAACCCGTTGGCCGCCAAGCACATGGACCCATCAGCATAAAAAGACCAATCAAATTCTCACCATTGTCTAGGCGGGTAGTGATGGGGCCTGAGCTGGTAGTGGCCATGTCGCTCACTGTGGTGCCCTGGTTGTCATTGACGCTGCGGCGCCTCTTTGAGCTGGTGCAGTTCTACAGGTGAATTGGGCGATTGTCATTTTGGTTAGGACATTGTTTATAAGCAATAATAAAGTACCCAGAATTTGAGAAGTAGCAGTTAAATGAAGAACACTGCTGTTTGCCATACCAGCTTTCCATGAAAATACACTAACTACTGTACGTTAAAACTACATCTAGATCCATAGCAAGATATGATTTGTGCAGCCCAGTATCCCAAGCAATCATGTCCACATTGGACAAATCTGCACCGCACAATTTACATCTAACACAACTGTTGAATGGAAGAAAGTGTGCCCTAAATATATCCATGTAGAAAGTAAGGTTATGGAAAGTGGGCCTGTCTGACATTCCCATCCCATAACCAACATCTTTCTATAACCTTAACCAATCTGTAGCTGTGATGTGTAGATACTGTAGAAATGTAGAATTTTAAAAAATGGACAGTGCAGAATACAATATCTAAATTATTGTTCACAGAAATATTTGAATTTGTGAAGTGTTGCACTAGAGGAGGCAGAATCTGACCTGAATGAGGTTGGGGCAGAAGGACTTTTCACAGAGCCTGGCGGCACAGTGTATGTAGTAGGTAGAGAGAGTTGCATTTGTGTTTTGCACAAAGCGGAAAGCCTCGAATGAGAAGCGGGCTTCCTGCCGCTTTCCGTTGACCCCCATTATCATCTGGCTATCCCGGGTACACCTTGAGGAGAACAGATTTGTCCCGTCCTTTAGAGTTTTTGACCAAGTTTCAGTCTACCAAAAATTCTGATATTCTTGTGTTGGGAATTCTTGTTTGCAAGTCAGCTTTTATTAGAGAAGAATGTCTCAGGAAGCTCAGCAGTGTTCACTGAAGCCCGGTCGGGGGGAAACTGTCAGTCAGTGAACCGAGCAGACAGAGAGGAGAGACTGTCTTACTTATTGTTTTCGAGTAAATAGCTCTCTCATAAATGGCATTGTTCCATCCAGTTTTAAACATGATGTGGTTCAGTCTAAAATACTGGAGAAGGTTGTTCTTCCTCAGCTCCATTCATTTTCACTTTCAGTCAGGTTCCAGAGTACACCATAGCACAGAAACAGCACTTCTTAAAGTACTGAATGATTTCTGGAAATTGTGCTATCTCACTTTTTCTTGACCTTAGTACTGCTTTCGATATGGTAAAGGTATGATCTGTACAGCGCCATTCTATTTTTTCTACCACTCAAAGACGCAATTTGGTGAGATGGACACTTCGACCTGCAGAATGGAGGAGCCAGGGAACCACCGGTCTTCCAATTAACGGGCAACGCGCTTTGACTCTGGAGCTGTGGTGTCTGGATCTGTGGTTGCGAGTCACCTGCCACCCCCATGTTCATGCTCAACACCCTATGCCGCAATTATTGTGACTAGTGCTATTGTTATTATTATTGTTATTATAATCATTAACATTACGATTATTATCATAAACTACTAAATTTCCATCATTATTCATTCAGTTTGTACCAGCACCTCTACTGTCTGTACCTCTGTGTGGATACTGTGTAGGTGAATTGAATTTTCCTCCTCAGCTACAGCCGCCCCTGTTTTGATCATGTCATCCTCCTAGATCCCCTACAGCAAGTGGTGTTGCTCCACAATGGACGGACTCTACGAAGGATAGAACCTTTTCTGTTAATAATGGAAATATTTCCTACTCTTCGGTCTCGATATTGGCCTCTCTTCACTGGTTACAGGTAAAATATAGCCAATTTTAAGGTGCTGTTACATTTTCTAAGGCATTATATGAAATGGCTTTATTATACATTTTAGCTCTCCATACAGTGTATCACTCTTCCAGTCTCCTTAGATCATCAGACCAGTTCCTTTTTAGCCATTCCACAGTCCCGGATGAAAAGACAGGGTGATCAGGCCTTTTCGGTTGTGGCCCCAAGACTGTGGAATAAATTTCCCATTATTATCGGGCCTTCTATTTATTGTTGTAGGTTTTATTGATTGTTTTTTTAATTTCATAAATTTGTACAGCACTTTGTTATGTATAGGATGTTTTTGAATGTGCTTTAGAAATAATCTGACTGGACTTATTTCTGAACATCTTTCTCTAAAACTGAGTCAAGTTGTTTCACGTTTCATCTCTGTAGGCATATAACTCACCCAATAAAGAGATCATAATATGTGGTGTTGATGGGGAAAGGCAAAACTGTGGCGTAACATCGGTCCAGGAGCACGTTGAATCTGCAAGGAGGAGTTTTCGGTATTAGCACAGATTGATAGATCCAGCCATATTTTCCCATTTTCTGTGAAAATTGACACAGGTAAAGTTTTGGAAAAAGTATCTAGAAGTTTGATTAGGTTGGCCTGTGCCCCTGGGTTAACATGCACACCAAACAGCACTATATTTTGCTACATATTTGGGGTTAATATGTACTTTACTGAGCAAATATTTGTAATGTTTAAGAATAAGATATTTTACAATTAGTATAATCAAGTTGATAAAACTTGTGTTAAGTGTGAAGTACCTGCTTGTGAGGTTGGACGCCTTCACTTCTGCAAAGATCCTGGTCTTTAGCTGCAGGCCTCCTGGAGGGATCTGCAGCACAGAGGAGTAGCTATTGTCCTTTAACAGAAGAGAGGGAAGGATGTTGTTTAGACTGATACATCTGCACATCCCACAGAAAGGGAGGGCCAGAGGAGCAGTCCTGCTGGTATGTCTGAGTTAAGTTTACTAATATGTTTTGTGATATTCCTGCCAATATATTACCTTCCTCCCTAGTGATTTTATTGTAGATAGTTTTAACAGTAAACTTAGATCAACCCTTGACTTAGTGGCACCTCTAAAACTGAAAAAGATAAAGACTATCTCTATACCTCCCTGAAGAACTGAGAAAACTAAACAATTATAAAGAAAATGCACAATAGCAGAAAGACGGTTCCGATCATATCTCACTGATAGAGAGAGAGAGAGAATTCTTTGTGTGTATTGATGAATCTCTATCCAGAAGACATAAAATGAATTGTGGTGTTTCCAACATTTAGGCCCTACCCTTTTTAATCTGTACATGCTGCCGCTTGGAGACGTCTTCAGGAGCCACGGCATCAATTTTCACAGTTGTGCTGATGACACACAGCTATACATTGCCCTGATGACCCAGGACCAGTAGATGCCCTTTTTAGCTGTTTTCTAAACATACAGTCATGGATGGCAGAACATTTTCTGCAGCTCAATCAGGACAAAACAGTATTTTAAAAAAGTATTGGTCATTGGTTCTGAATCTCAGATGGAGAAACTCAAAACGAATCTGCGAATGCTGGCACTAAATCCCTGTGATAAGGTGAAAAACCTGGGAGTTATTTTTGACTCAGTTCTCAGTTTTGAGTCACATATTAGAAATATTTGTACGACTGCTTTTTATCATCTCAAGAACACTGCTAGAGTACGACCCTTTCTCTCTCAAGCAAATACAAAGACACTTCTCCACTTTAACTACTTTATAAGTCACTTAATGTTATTGGTCCAGAATACTCAGATTTGCTGTTACCTTATGAACCTTCTAGAATTCCTGAAATTATACTTTAATCTATAAATCAGGATTATAGACTGTACTGTTTACATTAAAGAAGAGGATAGAAATAAATCTTGGACTTATTTGTTTCATGCTTGACATTTTTGTAGTTGCATGTGATTTGATGTCCTCCTTCGCATAATGTCAACTGAACTTGACTAAAATAAACATGCGTTGATTCTCACGACACCTTCTTACCGAGTAAAGCTGCATGCTCAGTGTGCTGATGAAACTCCCATTATTGTCTTGGACTGCCAGGTTGACCCCAGACCTGATGGACAAAAAGAATTCTGTCAGCAGCTGGAAATTACTAAATACTTACTAGTCATTACTAATCTATTGATGTGTCTCTCGGAAACCTTTAAGATAACAATCAGCGCCAGCTCCCCTCTGAGATCTTTATTTGTAAACAAAATAATAATAGAATGATCTGATAATGTATTTCTTCCAAAAACATCTAATTTTGGTAATAACATTAAGAGCCAAGCAAGACTGTTGGCTGTTGCTCTAACAAATGTCTTTTGTTTCATTATTATACAATATCATATAAATTGAATCAAAACATGTATTTTTGACATATCCCACTTTATCATATCATTATTACAGAATATTTCAGTGTACTGCAGATGAAGAATCTGGCTTTTTTTTTTTTTGAACAAATAAGAACGTAAGTTAGGCAGTGGTACTTTATGAAGAGCCTTTTAGGAGCTGAAAGAGCCGGCTGTAATTGCTGAGCATCCCATCACAGCAACGAGGTCATCTTTCATCTGATACACGAGGGAACAACGCACCAAGGCGAGATTCAAGCCCTGCTGAAACTAGACACAAGAGTAACACACACCTCTGACAACACATAACCAAACATAATGTCTTTATACTGCCTTCCATACAGTCAAGCTGAACTGAGGTTCATTCATCTACAGTCCTCTTCACACAAACACCTTTTAATAAAAGAAATCCGAAACATGATTTTACCCCTATTTTCCAGAGCTCAACAAATTTCCCATCTATGCTGCCCAGTTCTAAGGGTATAATTTCACACATAGCCAACGTTTTGATATCCCTCATCATATAGCTACTGTGATTAGTTTAAGTCATTTAGTTTCCATGCTAGTAATGAACTAGACCTGTACTATTCAAACTGGCATGATTTGAAAATGCAATGGCCAGTGTACTGAAATTATTTTTGAGATTGATTTGAGTTAGCACTCTTCCACTTTAACTTTATTGTCCAAAAGAGACATTTACCTTGCAGCCTGGAAAGCTTATAGTTAGGGCTGGTTCAGGTGAGTCCTGAACCATCCCTTAGTTATGCTGCTATAGGCCTAGACTGCCGGGGGATTTCCCATGATGCACTGAGCTCCTCTCTCCTCTACTTCCTCTCCCTCTGTATGCAACCTCATCCCATTATTGCAAGTTACTAACTCAATTTCTCCCCTTTCTGGTAGTCTTGTGTTTTCTCGTCCCTCTCCTCTCTCCTCCTATCACTTCCTGCAGGTTTTCTGGCTCTGGAGCTGTGGAGTCTGGATCCGTGGTTGCGGGTCACCTGCTGTCCCCGTGTTCCTGCTCGACACCCTCTGCTACAACAGCTATTGTTACTAGTCCTATTGTTATTATTGTTATTATAATCATTAACATTATGATTGTTATCATTAACACTACTATAAATATCTGTACCATTTTTCACTTAGTCTATAGCAACATCACCTTTACTGTCTGTACCTCTGTGTGTATATTGTGTAGGCTGCCTCCCTCCCCTCTCTCTCTCCTTCCATCCCTCTCTTTCTCTCTCTGTTCCTCCAAACCTGGTTTGGGTTTCTGTAAACAACATCATAGAGTACGGTCTAGACCTGCTCTTTTATGAAAAGCGCTCAGAGATAACTGTTGTTGTGATTTGGCGCTATATAAATATTAACAAGAAGTTAAGAATCAGTGACAGCATAGCCATCATTGCCCAACTTAACTATTAAAAATGGTTTAGACACCACCACAGTGGCCACCCATCGACTGATCATCAGCAGACTCCTGACTATTTCACTGTTTGATGACGAGGGAGATAAACCCATTTCTCACTTTGATGCTCTGAATTGCCATTTACAATTCTCCATACAGAGGATGGAATGGTAAATAGACTTTTGTTTATGCAGTGCTTTTTTTGGTCTTCTGAACACTCAGAGCACTTTACAACACTTTCACACATTCAAACCCATTCATACACTGATGGCAGAGGCTGCCATGCAAGGTGCAGGAGCAATACAGCACTTCTTATCCAAAGCGCTTACAATGATACTCAGCTTACCCACACACACAAACACTCACACACCCTCTCTGCCACCTGAGACACAGCTCTTTTGAGGGATCTGTGTCCAAGGTCAGCCAGTTTAACTTAGTCAGTTCTTCTACGATGCTCAAAAAAGGGAACACTTAATCATCACAGTATAACATCTTGTCAATCAATCAACCTTCAGGGATATCAATTTGTCCAGTTAAGAAGCATAAGTTATTGTGAATCAATGTCACTTGTTTTGGTGCAAATGAAAGTGGCAACAGGTGCACTGGAGAGGCAACAGCAAGACAATCCCCAGAAAGGGGCTGTGACACACCTTTTATTTAGGTACAACAAATCCAACGGGCTGTATTACAAGTATCCACTGTTCTCCCATACTCTATAATCACACAGTAACAATGAGCTATGTGCTGTTCTCCCATTCTAACTCTGTATTTACACATAAACAACAAGTAATGTAAGGGGAAATATAAAAGGTATATTCTATTGTTTCTGTTTTAATTTCTGTTGCTTTCCTACTTCTCCTTCTTCTTCTTTTTATCCTCCTCTGACTAAGATGCAAGTGACGACCACATCATGCTACCTCCTCTTTCTTCTGTGGTTTCTGGCAATAAAAGAAAAAAACAACACATACATTTTTTTTACTGGTTAAGTGCTGTAAAGTTAACTTTAAATTGACTCCACTACCACACATAAAACATGCCTTAATAATAGTTAGCTTAGCCTATGGCATTTTACACCGCATACATTAGCCTAGTGGCTAGCAGACCTTTCCTCTCCTCATAGCTTAAAAAATTACATGTATTAGGCTATAACATTGCTGTGTCTTACTTACTGCTTGTAAAGTCACTGCATCTCCTTACAAAACACCACGGTTGAATTTTCAGCCTGAACGTACGTTTTAAAACAGCAGCTGATCGTAGTGAGACCAACAAGCTGGTGGACTGATGAGTCATTTTCAGGTGGCAGAAGCAGCTCTGCTGCTGGGCGCATGATGTAAACACATAAGTGCAAGCCCTCCTGGAAGCCATAGAGATTGCGTTGCAGGCCCGCAGCTCGAAAGAAACTGTGGGAGATTTTCAACCGAGCTGAAATCGCCCCAAAAGAAGCGGGACTCCACAGACTTGACGATATTCAGAGGCAAACTGTCATAGCTAACTAACAGTGTGGTAGAAAAGGTAAGAACAATCCCCTGCCTTTCCTGGCTTGGCAGTACGTCCTAATGAACAAACCCCCCCTGTGTACATAGTGTAAACGTGTGCACTTCTAAACTGCACATATCACTTACACGCTCATCTGAGTTTGGTTGACCAGGTACTGCAGTGGGTAGTCACAGGAGAACATGTACATCAACTTTGGGTTATAGGTGATGGCTCCTGTACTAGAGTCCTCGGAGTGGATACTACCTGAGATGTTGACTTTCTGGATGTTAGAGAAGTCTGCAAACAGTCCGCCACCCACCCCCTGAATGAGCTTTGAGAAAAAATTGGTTGAGTAAGAATCTGTTGTGTGAGTGGCATCTGCTGGGTGTTTCAGGCGAAGATAACCTACTGTCAGCTTGGTGGAGCAGGCAACGATCGCTGCCTTTGTGATGGAGAAGTTGAATCTGAGAACAGGCGGGTCCACCGTCCAGTCAGCAATCCCTTTACAATGGTTTTTGCGATGTTGGGAGTTGAGGGCCAGCAGTGACTCGTTATATCCATTATAATATATGGGACACAGGAAGACCTGGAGGGCCACTGACTTAGAGCCACACTGGACCATAATGTCTGTGTTAACTGAACAGAGTGAGGATGAAACCAGAATCAGCTTTAAGTATTTGAACATGACTCACTGATCTCTCCGGAACTGACTTCTTAAAGGGGTACTCTACCTGTGTAACAAGAAGGCTCTATCTGTAGTGTACAGGACACACCTACTGTACTACATGACACACACCCTGAGATAACTTCCTAGAGTGATGTACTTATTTTAACCCAAACCTTTTTTTAACAAATTTCAAAAACTCCCCTCAGGAAGACAATGTAGTGTACCCACAGCAAAGAGCAACACCTTTAAGAGACTAAACAAATGACTTCTTATTAGATATTGACTGCTGCTGTTTTCATGATTGCATTTAAGATGTGTATTTATTGTAATTATTTTCACACTTTCATCCTAACCTTTCGTTATTACAGGCCCACTCATTCATTCTCTCTATCTCATGTATTTTAACCATGGCAGAGGATGTTGTAAAGTGTATGTGTGTCTGTGAAGCCAAAGACAAACTTCCACATGAGTGTACAATTAGATATCTATGCTATTCTATATTTTGTATCATGTAGTAGGCTTGTCCAGTAGTACTGTGCACCTGCAGATAGACCTACTTACATTTAACACGTTACATGTGAGTTTATTTGTCATGAGGAGTCTTCAGTTGCTCTGGAGGAGCTCAAATCTGACAAAATTAGAAAAAAGAACAACGAAAATAGATTGGGCTGCGGACTTTTCTTGAGATTTTTCACAGAAAACTAGAGATGTAGAGTTTGAAAGAAGTGGGCATTTAAGAGACAGAGAGAGTCTGAGTTACAAAGAGGGAGGAGCAATTTCGGAAAGTAAAAGTCCCGTTCATTTTCCCATAGACACTGTTATGTGACTAACAGTTGGAACACTACAGTCTACAGCTTGGATGGACATGATCTCTCTTGGGGGAATCATCAACATGCACCTCACCTCAGTGTCCGTTTTCCACCAGATGGTACCAGCTCAACTCGCCTTGACTCAACACGACTCTTGGGCAAATCTGGTACCTGGTAGATTTTTTGGTATCACCTCCGTCGAAGTTCAGTGTGAGCTGAGGCAATACCAAAAGCTGGTGTGACAACACTGCAGACTACTGATTGATCAGAGAGAGAATTGTCACTATTCACTGCATCATCATTGTGCGCACCAGACAGGATGTCCTGAACAAACCCAGAGATTGCAAGATAGTAACTGTAACAATACTCTCTGTACTTTATTACTTTATTATATATAACCCAGCCACATACCGAGAATCAAAAACAGCATCTCTTCGATATCCTCCATTGTCCTATGTGTGAAGAGGTGTTTGGCACGTGGTGTGTGCGGATTGCGCGTGGGTGCCGCATTGAAGATTACATCACGGCAGTTTTGTGTGGAATTGCTATGACAATCAGCTATATTGAGGGGGTTCTATATCTGCAACGGAAATGGAGGATGGGGCACCAAAAGCGAGGTGAGTCGAGCTGGTACCAGCAGTCGGTAAGCGCCAAAAGACACAGTCCTCAAGTAGCCAGACTGTCAAGGTGCTTACTGGGTTGCAGGAAACAGAGAGGTGTGAAAGTCAGAGGAGTGGGGGGAGGAAGGGAGGTCAGAGTGGATGAAAAGGACGAGAGAGTGAGCACGGCTAGTTTCACTGACCTGCTCTTCTGAATGTGGGGTGTGTTTTGCAGAAATGTTTTCCTTGGGCAAGAAGAAGTGTGGGAAGTTGATATGCAAGAAGGGCCAGCCACATTGTCTTCATAATGCTGGAAAAAACAGATCAGAAAATCAGAAGTGCACATGAGTGCCTCTCTACTGGGTCAGAGATCAAAAAGGCAATGAAATGAAGAAATGTATGATTAAAACCTCCAACTTAAAGCTAGTGTGCAGGACTTTTACATGTAAATGAAAGTCTGTCACATTTAAGCCCTTGCCAAATGAGTCCCCGCCACTGATCATCGCAAGGTAAATCTCTTTATTTGCTGTATATTTGGTGTCTGTGCGGACATTCCCACTGGTGCCTTGGTGGTGATGTGTTTTGTTTCTGCCAACAACAGCGACAACCCACTGCTGCTTATTCATCCTCCACAACATCAGGAAGACATGCCTGTTCCTCACCAGGAGGCAGAATGTGCCATCTGACCTCTGCAGCTCTTCCAGAATGCAGTAGCTCAGCTGGTCTTCAACATACTTAAGTTCTCCCACACTGCACCACTCCTCTGCTCCCTGCACTGTCTACCATTGGGAGTCCCATTTAGGTCACTGGTTGCCTACTATTCTGTGAATGGACATGGTCAATATTAGATGAATTTGATGTATTTGCTCGATTCTTGCAATTTTTGGATTTTTGGGTATCCAGATGTTTGAAATGCACTTATTGTAAGTCACTTTGGATAAAAGTGTCAGATAATTCAAGGTATCAAGGTCACATCAAAAGTTTCTAGTCCCTTAATGCTACACACACAGAACTTAACAGCTTATGTAGCCTATACTAAAATATGGTAACATGAAATAAATAACATAAAACAATATATAGTCCTACAGTCATTTATATACATATATAGCCTGTACACACCCAGAAAATAATTCTGCAGTGAATCCAAAGAAGGTTAAAGTCAAGGGCAACTGGACTTGGTTGAAGATACTGGAAGACGTTTCGTCCCTCATCCAAAGGACTTCTTCAGTTCTGACTGACTGGCAGGGAAACTCAGCTATTTAACCTCAGTGGGGTCGTTGGCCCGGGTCATCAATACCGCTGGTTCGTTAGTGTTCCTTGTTGCTGTGACGACAGTCGTTACAGTCGTTAAGACTACCTGTGGCCAAGACTGAACGACCATCGTTGGTATCTTCACCTGAGGCCAATAGGTTACGTTTGTTGAGTTTCCTGGGAAGTGATGAAAGGACAGCATTGTAAGTGGGGGATAAGTGGTGGTATCCACAGGCTGTAAGTGCCCCCTTCAGGTGGTTCTGTTCCTTCTCTCTGGCTTGGGCGCTTGTTGGTATGTTTTCCGCTCTGTGGTGCAGTGTTCTCATGACCCCTAGCTTGTGCTCCAGTGGGTGGTGGGAGATTGTGTTGTCTTTCTATAACTGTTGTAGACATTCTATGGCCTTTTTCTTGTATCTGCTGGAAGTCATTATATTTGAACAAAATCTACCTGCCCCACTGCTGTGCATTACCCTGCATTAACCTTAGTGCTCTGCTGATATGGTAGTAGGCTGCTACCCCCTTTAGACCGTCTGACAGACAGAGTGCCTGTCCGGGACTGTACTGGATGAGACCAGCTCACTGCTCTTCATCAGAGGTAGAAAAGAGAAACTGAAAACACTTGTGATCAGACAGAAATATCACCACACATCCACACGCATGTTCACTTCAGCCCCTCTGATAAAGTGCGGCTCACAGCCGCTTCAGAGGGAATGAAGCATCCTGGAGCAGAGAGACAGTCAAACAGAGCAAAGTGTCTCTGAGCGAGGGGGACAGAGACAGCAGAGAGAGCAACAGGTGTCTGTGTCGCGGTCAGGTGTGTCATGTTATTCTCTCACTACTTTGTGACGGACTGTTAACCGTTACAGTACATCGACTAGACGCTGACCGACAACATTTATATTTAAATGTTTTGATTACAATTTTACTCGGGACAAATTAATAGTCGCTGACAAGCCCTGAAACTGGGAGCAATGCTCTCTCTCTCTCTCTCTCTCTCTCTCTGCAGGCAGGCAGGCAGTAACAACGGGGGGTCACATTACATGAACTTCAAACAAAATCTGTGAAGAGCTGATGAGACAGGCTGCGTGATTATTGCATATTAGCCTAATATGGAAAATATTTTTTATGTTGTTGTTGTGTTACATTCTGGGCTACAGTCAAAAAATTCGGGGCTAAAGCCTAGGAAAAATGACTAGTGATCTCTCTGTTCCTGTAACGCAAGGAACAGAGAGCAGAGAGGGTGGGGGCTAGAGATGTGACTGGGCCGGTCCAGTGTCAGTATAGAAAATCACCCAATGGGCCGCTGTCTGTGCTTTATGGGACGGTCATTGGCCCTTTCTTTAAAGAACAGTTATATAAATGAATAATTTACGTTACACCGGCCCCAAAGGTGCGTCGGCCCTCCGGGCATTTACCCAGTATACCAGATTACCAGTCCAGCCCTGGGTCTCAAACAGTCTTCGGAATGAAACAACATGAAAAGTTTATACTTCTCTGATGGAAATGCTAATAGGTTATAGAAATCAGATTGTTGTGAAGGGTCTACAACATTTACATTTTTAACAATGCATTGTACTCTATTTTATAACCATATCATGTTTTTTTTTAAACCTTAGTCTTAACCTGAAAAATAGACAAAAACTACATATGAAGGGGAAAATGCTATATTTCTGTCTTAAATGTAGTAGTATGAAGTAAAATGAAATGGAAATGAAATAGTACAAGTACCTCAAAACTGTACTTGAGGAATCTATTTTGTAACACTGCAGAAATGTAAAACACTCCATTACAGGCATGAGTAACACCAAACCAGTGTAATGTGTCAGAAAAGGAACACCTTTCTAAAACTGTACCGAATGCTGTGAAGATTCAAATTGTAAACACTTTCATTGATTTCAACACTGTGTGTGTGTGTGTGTGTGCGCGCGCAACACAATATCAGCAATCATTGTTTTTCAGTTCTATCTGAATTATGAGTGAAGTCATTTTTCTTCCTGCATCATTGGATGGAGCAAATACGTCCATTTATCTTGTAACTACTAAAAAAAGATTTTTCTTTCAGCCAAAATCTTTGAAGAGTTTTTTCTTACCTTGTGTGGATGTTACCTAAGATCTTTCCCTCAGCAGGTCTTTTCTGTGTCTGCTCTCACCTTCATGACTTTCAGACATTTATACCGGCCTCCTTTCCAGCTATAAAGAGTAAACCGGAAGCTCACTGAGAAGAAAGGGAAAGGTAAGAGATCAACAAACTGGTTTGGCCTGACAACCGGATCATCTGACAGACAACAATAGGTGAACTTATATGAAGTGTCTTTGGTCTGATGCAATATTATGTCAAGTAGCTATCCATTTAACTTGTCACTTCAGTAATGACCATTGTAATCATTTTTGTGAGGCAAGTGTCCTAATGGACCAACATCTCATCTCAAGATGGACCAGAAAAGATGGTTATTTGAAGGTTTTTCTTAAAACTCAGTTGGTCACAGAATAGAATTTTACAGAATTATCTTATAGATCAACTGCCAGTCTTTATAATCACAACAAAACCCACAGGAAACTACAAAACCCTTATTTTTCTATAACGCTGAAACCTATCCTGATATTACATAACCAACAAATTGTTTCAGCCCTATATAGGCAAAAGCACCTTAAAAGGCCATGTTATATCATGCTGTTTTTTCAGATCGTACTTCTGCTGGGGGCTATCACTCTTTGTTAAGATATTAGGTCTCTATCTTATACACCATCTGAGAAAAAGGCACACCCTGCCAAACAAAACCTCCCATAGTACCACTGTCATCTGAACAACACCGCAGATCCCCTCCACCTGACCTGGGCCCGTATTTATCAAGAACACTCCTAAGAACTGACTTAAGAGTAAAATAATTCTTGGCTCAAAGCTGAGCTTAAAAGTTAGTTATCAAGCATCATAGCCCCAATTTGAGTGAAGTGTAGGACTAAATCTTAAGTGTCAGTCTTGGTGCTGATTTACGACACTTTGCTGTGCAGCAAATGCACATCCTTCTTTAAAAATATTCTCAGATAAATTCACATTGAATGGTGAAATTCCTGAAGAGGAGTTTATATTCAACACACGTTTAACAATAAAGAATTTTCAAGATAATACATTATGATATAGGCCTACACATTAATAAATGAAGATAAAAAAAGCCATCAGGGCCTACTACTCCTGTATTGTGGCTATTTGCATGAACTGTGTTTGCTTCTGTTGTTGGGAAGTCGATGAAACATGTGACAGTGTGTGGAGCTGTAAGTGCTATAATTGTTTCCACTACTATTCGGCTTATTGATGGTTGTGACGGCCAAAATCATCAGTATTGCTGCGTTTGACCTGTGGCAAATAAACAAAGCATCATCACCACCTTCAGTTTAACTAAAAACGCATCACTGCGTTCAGTCAGTGGTGAGATGACGTCCCTCACCAACTCGCTGACAAAGATTATGCCTTCGCGGTACGACCCCGGCCCAATCCCAATGTCCCCCCTAAACCCTGAGCCCTGAACCCTCACAGACTTTACTGACGTCTCTTGGAAAGTGATTGAGCGCACGAGGCTGTGAGGACTGCTGTGAACGGGAACGGGACAGCACTTTGCCACTTCACGTTACCTTGACGACGCTGAAACACGTAGCACACTTTTTATTTTGTTTTTGCATTATTTTTAAGTCCTGCAGGCATTTCTCTTACTTAATGTGTTCTATGCAGCATCTTAAGTTAAGAAAACTTTGAACCATTTTGACATCAGCTGGTGTTTTCTTCTTCTCTTAATACGCGGATTTGCCGTGATATTTCTCTCGCTTCCGGGCTTCCCCTGGTAACCCCATAGGCTACATTTATTTATTTTTTTATTTTTTTATTTTCCCCATAGGCTACAGCCTATGGGTAACCCCCGTGTTTTTCGTCATACCGCTATGAACTGTGGGCAATTCCCTCAGCCAAAGTCTGCAGAAATGCGGACGGAAAGGGTCTATAAAGGGCTCAAAATGTCCGCGAGAGAGCCCTCGCGCGAGAGAGCCCTCGCGCACTTGACGATT